CTTACCATCCTTTTTCATGATGGGATGGAGGTTTTCAACACCAACATGGCTATTATGTTTCAGAAATGGTTTAAGTATTGAAAATGAGTGATGTTGGTAAAGTGAATTCAAAATTACAATGCGTAAAAGGAATTTTAAAAGTCTAACACAAATTGTATGTTATGGTACATCTACTAGAAACATACATTTACATTATCATCAAAAGAAATGTTAAACGTGTACTATACATACAGTCTTTGTTATGATGATTGGGTGTGGCTTTATGTTTTCATTATAAACTCCTATTTTTCAGGGGCTTATAATTCTGCTCTAAAACCTTGCTCTGGATTATGAAATCTTCATCCTAGGAGCTTTTTTGTTACAAATCAGAAGAAAAATTCAGTTTAATTTTGTTGATGCAAATGGTTTTTGGTTTTTAAAATATGCCTAATTGTGCTCCTGATGAGGAAAGTTTTGGCAGTTTATTGATTAGTCCAAATCACAGGCTGATGGCCTGATCTGCTGGAGGGGCTGGGGAGACTCCCTGCCAAATTTTTTCAGTGGAAATATTAAGATCATAAAACTCCTCAAAGCCAAGAAATGTAATCTTATGGCTGAAATTCCCCCCAGCTGTCTGATACAATAACCCTGTGCAGGAGCCCTCTCCCTACAGGCCTAATAGAGAATAGACAGCTGTAACTGAATTTTGTTGGGTTTTGATGGTCCTGCTACTGCTAGTCTCACTCTCAGACTTTTCATTACTAGCCTTGCTATCCGTAGAGCATGCACCAAATTCAGGGAGTCCGTATGGAAAGAGCACCGTGGGCAGTGGCAACGGCACAAGAGTTCACGAAGAAAACTCCTAGGGATGATCTGACAATTGCATTGCCCTACACAGAAATTTAGGGGTTTCTGAATCAAGCTTAATGTTTACAGTTTCCAAATAGCCATCTTGCAGTGTATAGTTTCCTTATAAAACTACCCCGCATTCAGTTCTCCCTTTATCTGCAAGCTCAAACTTATTTTTAAGGTTTGTGTACAAGTCGACTGCTGTAAAGATATATATTTTGGGGTCAGTTTTTTTTTCCTTCATTAACTTGGTGGTAGAAAAAATATATACTTAGAAATCCTTAAATTAAAGCCATGTTTTATATATAAGTCAGGTAACATTGGTGTATAGATGAGAATGCAATTAAACCTGATGAGGATCTACTGGAGGAGAATACAGAAAGTGTCTTTCTCTCAAGGAGATACTTATTCCCTGGTTTATTGCATTAAAACTTATGTTTGAGGTTACCTCAACTTGTTTTAAAAGATTTTGTTTTGTGAACTTGTACTGTATATTTGAGTAACTGTCAAGCTTTTGTTTTATTTAAAATTGTTTAACATGTACCATGTACATGTCATTACTATATTTCAATGCATCATGCTTGTAACAGGCATTTCATTTATAATAAGAATGAGTTATTCATTTGTAAGCTGTTCAGTAATTTATCTACTATTCCTAAATTGGCATAATGTTAGATATCTATTTTGAATCACCTTTAATTACATGTCAGAATGCCTTAACTACCCTAACTTGACAAAACAGAATTCTTTGGTAGAGAAAATAGCAGACAGGGAGGGGAGGGATGGGTGGAGGGAGACTCCATTTAAATAATGAGTACCCATCGTGCTATGATAAAACATGGAAGCGTGAGTGGCAAGTGGCGGGGTATTTATTTTGCACAAACTGTTGCAGTCTCTGTGTATTTAAAAAGTAAAGAAAGTTGCATCCAGAAGGGTTTTGTTGAAAGGAATACATTTATATTTGGGCTGGCAATTTCAGTTCTTTTGTTTGGGTTTTTAATTATATCTATCTGGTCAGAGGTATGTCGCCTTATGATCTGGATCTATTTTGCATTAATTTTCCAATGCTTACATTTAATTCCTTATAAGAGCAATGCTGGTCAAGTCACTGGCTTTTTTCTGCTCTTATTAACCCATCAAACAGTCTTTATAACGCTAGATTGGTGGTCTTTTACACAACTCATTTAATCAATTCAGTTATTTGTTTTTTTGGCTTTTTTGAGAAATGACCATTAGAAATCAACAATGTGTTTGTGTCAGTGATATTGGAAACAGTGGGACAAGAACTGAGTTTCACAATGGAACTGACTTTGGACCTGGCCCATAGATTAGTGACACAAAATACTTTCTCTATTTTCTTTTTGCCCTGTCCTTTGTATGTTATGCACTTAATTTTATGACCACCGGGGTGGGTTGGGGGTGGGAGGGGTGATGATCAGTTGGAGTGCTGCTTACAAGTAACTCTCCTTCCACTCCCAGAAGTCAGAGGCTCTGCTGGACCCATACTGGAATATTCCAGGTCACAGAATCCAAGTCTCTGTGGGGTGTGACTGAGATATACCACTTGGTGGGTCTGATTCTGAACTTAATGTGTGTTAATTGTATTTTAAATCAAGCAGTATAAAATGCATACACATTTGCCTCATGTACTGGACTTTTATAACAAAAGAGAATTTGGATTTCTAACTTACAAATGGCAAATTATTTATCCCTCTCTGGATGCACCAAAGACCAGTAAAAGTTTATAGCTTTTCCATCTATATTTATAAAGCAATACTGTATTATAAAAATCAATATTTTTATCACATGCTTGAAATTTTTATTTTATTCTGTTTTAAAATGTGCACTCTAAACATATCAGAACCTTATTTCTTCCTGTGAATTTAAGCTGCCTGCGCACAAAAAATTTACTGAATGGATAATACAGTAGAGTCTATAGGCTCTTAAAAAAACTGAAAGAAGAAATGGGGGTGGGGGAAACCAGTTATTTGTCCTGAATTACTGTACTGGCTTGACATGGTTGATAGGTACTAAATCACAAAAGAATCCATTCCAGGTATGCATGTCTGGGGGGGGGGGGCTGTGTCTAGAGTAGAAACTACATTTCAAGCTTTGCATGATGGGAGAGTGTGTCTCCTCTCCTATCAGCTGCATTTGTTCTGGCTAGAACAGTAGCCTTCAGTACCACCAACCTACCACATCAAGTAACAAGGCAGGAATTGTGGGAATTCACTGAGTCAGTTTTCAGCATTTTGGAGATTGTAAACAAGATTGGCTAGAACTGTAAATGTTTGTACTTTCGAATAAGTTCATGGTTCCTTGTCACCTTATACCAGCGCTCTTTGGTAGAAGCTACAGCATCCAATTTCCCTGGAAAAAAATCACATTTCTCAATATATAAATGTTAATTTAATTTATATGTATACATATATATAAATCTGCTTATAAAATTGAAAATATGAAGCAGAAAGCATTTGGATTCTATTTGTTTAAAAATATTCTTTGCAAAATTGAACTTCTCAACTAAAAATCAACAGTGTCCATGTCAAAATTTTAAGTTAGCAGGTAGTTTGTGGCAAAGATGGCTAAATACTGAAGCAAATTTGAATTTGTGTATACTAATGAGCTGCTTTTTTCTGTTGAGACTATCATTATTTGTCTTACCCAAGAGGCAATGACCTGAATTGGATGTCTGAAATATAACTTATGCAGGAATAGTTCTGTAAATACATTTAAATAAACTGTAAAGATATTTAATAAATATAGTATTTATACTAATCTGTGTAACTCCTCTTAATTTGAACCGTAACTAAGACACCAGCCCTAGACATTCTGTTGGGTCTCTGTCACGTCTTCATTTCCAAGCCTCTTAGTCATTCTAACAGGGACTCCTTACTTCGTAGCTATCATTTTCTGTCTTATTAGTTTATCCCCCTTAGCTCTTTTTCACCAGCTGGTTTACTACATCAGTTTAGTTGCCCCCAAAATTCCATCAAAATGGACTGATTATTGAATATAAAATACAGACGTTTTCCCAATTGATACGGATTTTGCATCTTTCAAATGGTAAGGAATGAAGCCACAAAAAAACTGATGTCATTTAAACTTAACAATCTGTATGTAAATTCTAAAACCCAAATTCTATGCCATTTAATACTGTAACTATCTTTTCCAGACTGATGTTGCATCCAGGCAATTACTGATGATGATGCCTTCACAACCTCCATACACCCCTCTGCCCTTTTCAGTGAGAACCAGAAACTTCATCCTCTGCAAGGAGACCTGTAGTTACCCGGGTATACATGCTCTCCTTGTCGTCATCTGCGTTTTCAGGAATACGTGAAATTCAGTGTTAATCATCAGTGTAAGCATAAGATATGTAAATCTTTAGCCTACAGTATGGAAGGACTTGAAATTATGTGGGCATTGCCAATTTCCACAAAAAGCTCAGTGAAAGCCCATTTTCATTCATTGAGGAACATTTTGAGACAAACTTGAGTTTTTATTAGGTTATTGTGGGTAGCTCTGACTCAGTACTAAGCTACAAGAGCCAAATTCATTCTGATTTTAGTTAGAACTCTGTTCACAGTTCTGAAGTTTACTAATTCACTCAGCCACCTCTGTGTATGAATTCCTCACAAAATGTAAAGTACAACTGCTTGCCAGTTAACATTTTCCTTGTTGGTTTCACATAAACTTCATAGAAAGATGTTACAGAAGTCAGGAGTTTGTCAGGTTATAACTGACTATAAACAGGTTTGGGGGAGGGAGAGGCATGCATCATATTATGTAACAATGGTTTGTGCCAGATTCTTTAATCTGTTCAGGTAAGAAGCTAATTTTTTTTTTAATATTTTATTTTTTATTCATGAGAGACACAGAGAGAGAGGCAGAGACACAGGCAGAGGGAGAAGCAGGCTCCACACAGGGAGCCTGATGTGGGACTCAATCATGCGACTCCAGGATCTCGCCCTGGGCTGAAGGCAGGCGCTAAATCTGAGCCACCCAGGGATCCCCAAGAAGCTAATTCTTAAAGGGGCAAAGAACAGAAACATTCATCATCTGTCTCATTTTACTCCAAACCTAGGCTCTCAAAAGTGGAGGTTGCTGCTCTATGTCAGATAATTCAGAAATAATTTTTTGGCATCAATTCCATTAAATTATTTTCTGCATCACACTGTGAAATATAAGAATCACATATGAAAATTAGAACCATTTAAGGCTAGAAAATAAAATTTTACAATATATAAAAAGACTCCAAAAAGAGGGGGATAGCTACATATTTTTATTCTTGACCTTTTTTTTTTCCAGGGATTATTTTACTTAAAATCTTAACAAAATAGGGCAGCCGGGGTGGCTCAGCGGTTTAGTGCCGCCTTCAGCCCAGGGCCTGATCCTGGAGACCTGGGATCAAGTCCCATGTCAGGCTCCCTGCATGGAGCCTGCTTCTCCCTCTGCCTGTGTCTCTGCCTCTCTCTCTGTCATAAATAAATTAAAAATCTTTAAAAAAAACATTCTTTAAAAAAAATCTTAAATTCTAAAAAACAATGGACAAGAAGTTACGGCATTACATGGGAAAAGACTGCATAGCTTTTCACTATGTCTGAAAGCACCAAAACCCGATGTTTGTAACGAAATACAAAAGCTACCTATTGGTCACAGAACTACAGGCCATACTGATGCACTCCAAATGGCTGCTGAAAAAAATCTAAATACCTTTATAAAACTGGCAAAGAAAATGCTAAAAAGCTCTAGTGAGAATGTGCATTGAAGAATTCTAATAAGCTTTTTCCCTGCACAGAACACTTCTGCCTCCAAGTAGCATACTGAATTCAAAGCAAATATGTACACTTAACAAGCAGCTATTTCTAGATATGGCTGTTAACACAAAATGATGTTTAGCAAAGCAGAAGCCCATGCTCCATATCAAGGAAGTCCAAGACAGTATCTTTATGGACTAAATGTGAAAATGTGTTTGAGGTGCAAGTGAGCCTGCAAATGGGCTGGGGGCCAATTCAGCCATCATTAAGTGTTAGAATGTGGAAGAACTGCTATTATTCATGTCTTCTTCTTCATTGTCACTTGCTGTTGCCAGACTGTCAAAAGGGTGGTTGAAGTGTTCTCGCTGGTCAGAAGAAACTGCTCCAAAGAACATGCAAGAAAATTGGAGGGAAAAAAAAGTAACTCCACTGTTTATTTGAGCGAAAGTTAGTGCTCATTAGATGCTCCAGGTAGCAGCCCCTTTTCAGAAACTTGGCCCATGTGGTCTCCCTAACTTTGATGGTGAGATGGTTCATGGAACACCCAGAACCTTCATGACTGGCACAGCATATCCTATAATGAAACCCTTCCCTGACTAAAAGGCACAGTTTGGAATCAGTGATCTTCTGACTCCTCTGCTGGAGCCATTAAAACTCACACCAAGGCAGCAAGAGACAAAGAGACCAGAGACTGTGTGTGGAAATCCTACTTGACTAATCCATCTTTTCCCCTTTCCCTCCTGCTGTAGCTGAAGCTACCACTCCCAGCTATAGCCAATCCTTCCCTCCTTGTCACTGCCTCCCAGGCCCTCCCATGCCACTCCTCTGTTGAATACGAATATCAATACTTTAATCAAATGTGTCTCATCTTTAAAATACAAAATAGCCTTATCCTGCCCCCCACCCAACTACTCCCTTACCTCTGCTGTCAAGCTGTCTACATTCACTGTCTCCATTTTCTCATTTTTCTATTCCTCAGTCCTATCTGAAAAAGCTGCTGACCACCCCCACCCCACCCCCACAGACTCTTATGGTCACCAAAAATCACTATATCCTTAAGCCAATGACCATTTTTGGTCTTCATCCCACTTGATACTCTGACGCTTTCTTCTAGTACCTTTTTCATGCCACACTCTCCTGGTTGCTTTTAGACTTTTCAGCTGGCTGGCTCTCTCCTACCCATCCTTCAAATTAGGCTTTCTCAATCTCCCCACTACTGACATTTTGGGTCTGATGATGTTTTGTTGTGGGGGCTGTGCTGTGCAGCAGAGAATGTCGAGCAGCATCCCTGGCCTCTATCCACTAGACATCAGTAGCACACACACACACCCCAAACTGTAACATCCAAAAAATCCCCAGATGTTGCTCATTATCCCCCGGGGAGCATAACTGCCCCAGGTATAAGAACCACTGCTTTCTATGATGGCAGTCCTCTCCTCTGTACCCTCTCCCTAGGAGATTTCAGTCACACCCTTGGCTGAAATTATCACCTATATATGCCAGGGAGTCTCACAGAATTTGAACTTCAGATATCCTACTACCTACTTGATTTCTATAACTTAACATATCCAAAACTGACTTTGTGATCTTAGTGAGAGGTGAACCTGTTTCTCCAAACCTAAGTCTTTCTGGAACCTCCTTTTCCCTTAATCCCCATAACCAATCCATTACCAATAAAAAATTCAATTCTATACAGTGTACCCAAAATAGTAAGATATCTAGGAATAAACCTAACCAAAGAGGTAAAAGACCTGTTCTCTGAAAACTATAAAAAAATGATGAAAGAAATTGAAAATGACACACAAAAAAATGGAAAGACATTCCATGCTCATGGAAGGAAAGAACAAATATTGTTAAAATGTCTTTACTGCTCAAAGCAATCTATTCATTTAATGCAATCCCTATCAAAATACCAACAGCATTTTTACAGAACAACAAACAATCCTAAAATTTGTATGGAACTACAAAAGACCCAGAATAGCCAAAGCAATCTTGCAAAAGAAAAGCAAAGGCTGGAAAAAAAAAAAAAAAGAAAGAAGGAAAAGAAAAAAAAGAAAAGGCTGGAAGTATCACAATTCCAGACTTCAAGTTATATTACAAAGCTGTAGTAATCAAAACAGTATGGTACTGGCACAAAAATAGACACAAAGATCAATGGAACAGAATAGAAAATCCAGAAATAAGCCCAAAATTATATGGTCAAATAATCTTTAACAAAGCACCTAAAGAATACCCAATGGAAAAAAGAATATCTCTTCAGCAAATGGAGTTGGGAAAACTGGACAACAACATGGAAAAGAATGAAATGGTACCACTTTTTGCACCATACACAAAAATAGATTCAAAATTGATTAAACATCTAAATGTGAGACCTGAAACCATAAAAATCCTAGAAAAAACACAGGCAGTAACTTCTTTGACACTGGCTGTAGCAACTTCTTTCTAGATATGTCTCCTGAGATAAGGGAAACAAAAGCAAAAATAAAACAATTGAAACTACATCAAAATAAAAAGCTGCTGCACAGCAAAGGAAACAATCAACAAACTGAAAGGCAACCTATGGAATGAGGGAAGAGATTTGCAAATGACATAGTCAGTAAAGGGTTAGTATCCAAAATACATAAAGAACTTATAAAACCCAACACCCCAAAAAAACCAATCCAATTTAAAAATGGACAAAAGGGGCACCTGGGTAGCTCAGTCATGATCTCAGGGTCATGAGACTGAGCCCTGCTTTGGGCTCCAAGCTCAGCACAGAGTCTGCTTGTTCCTCTCCCTCTGCTCCTCTCCCTTGCACACTCTCACACATGCGTTCTCTCTCAAATAAAATATTTTTTAAAAAATGGACATTAGATATAACATTTCTCCAAGACTTACAGATGGCCAATAGACTCATGAAGATGCTCTTCATCACTTATCATCAGGGAAATGCAAATCAAAACCACAATATCACCTCACACCTATCAGAATGACTAAAATCAACAACACAAGAAACAACAGGTGTTGTTAAGGAAGTGAAGAAAAAGGAATCCTTGTGCACTGTTGGTGGGAATGCAAACTGGTGCAGCCACTGTGGAAGACAGTATGGAGGGTCCTCAAAAAGTTAAAATAGAACTCCCTTATGATCCAGCAATAGCACTGCTGGGTACTTACCCAAAGAATACAAGAGCACTAATTCAAAGGGATACATGCACCTCTATGTCTATAGCAGCATTATTTACAATAGCTAAGATAAGGAAGCAGCCCAAGCAGCCCAAATTCATAGATTGATGAATGGATAAAGATGATGTATGTATATACAATGGACCATTATCAGCCATAACAATGAATGAAATCTTGCCATTCTCAACAACATGGATAGATCTAGAGAGTAAAATGCTTAGCAAAGTAAGTCAGAGAAAGACATATACCATATGATTTCACTCACTTTTATGGTGTAAGTTGATATCATGTAATATATGTATGTAAGTTGATATTAAAGTTCAACATTCAGGAGTAGCCAGGAAAAACTGACAAAATCTACAAAGGGATACCAACTACTGAACATTCAGACATACTCTGAACCCTCTAAAATTAAAAATTTGGTTCTGACACATGAACAGATCAGCAGAATAGAATAGGAAGTCTAGAAATAGACCCCAAAACATACATAAATGTAGTATATGACAAAAGGGAGCACCTCAAATTACTAGGGCAAAGGTAGACCTTATAAGAAGTGGTTCTGGGATGGCTAGGTAGCCATTTTGCAAAAGACAAAATTGGTCTCCTACATCACACCACACACAAGGAATTCCAAATGGTTCAGGATATAAATCTGAAAAGATGAAATCAGGCTCCTGGGTGGCTCTGTCGGTTAAGCGTCCAAATCTTGATTTTCTCAGGTCATGAACTCAGGGTTGTGAGACAGAACCCTGCATTGGGCTCTATGCTGGGTGGGTGTGGAACCTACTTGGGATTCTCTCTCTCTCCTCCCTCTGCCCCTCCTCCCAGCCCCACTCACCTCACTCACTCACTCTACCTCATGCACACTCACTTTAAAAACAAAAAGACATGAAACCATTCAAGTTCTAGAAGGAAACATAAATGAGTTTCTCTTAACCTCCACATAGAGGGGATCCCTGGGTGGCTCAGTGGTTTAGCGCCTGCCTTTGGCCCAGGGCCTGACCCTGGAGTCCCAGGATCAAGTCCCACATTGGGCTCCCTGCATGGAGCCTGCTTCTCCCTCTGCCTGTGTCTCTGCCTCTCTCTCTCTCTGTCTCTCATGAATAAATAAATAAAATATTTTTAAAAAATAATTTTAAAAAATAACCTCCACATAGGGCAAGGCTTTCTAATTAATGACTCAAAATCCAATGACAATTTTTATAAAAGGTAGATAAATTTGATAATATGGAAAATGTTTGCATGATAAAAAATTTTTAAATTTGACAACTGATAGAAAATATTTGCACCATGTATCACAGATAAATAGATAGCTAATATCCTTACATATAAAGAACTTTTAGGGATCTCTGGGTGGCTCAGCGGTTTGGCGCCTGCCTTTGTCCCAGGGCATGATCCTGGAGTCCCGGGATCGAGTCCCGTGTCAAGCTCCCGGCATGGAGCCTGCTTCTCCCTCCTCCTGTGTCTCTGCCTCTCTCTCTCTCTCTATGTCTATCATAAATGAATAAATAAATAAATCTTTAAAAAAAAAAGAACTTTTAAAAACTGAAGGACAAGGACACCTGGGTGGCTCAGTGGTTGAGCATCTGCCTTTGGCTCAGGGCATGATCTCGGAGTCCCAGAATTAAGTCCCACATTGGGCTCCCTGCATGGAACCTGCTTCTCCCTCTGCCTATGTCTCTGCCTGTCTCTCTCTGTGTCACTCATGAATAAATAAAATCTTTTTTTAAAAAATTGAAGGACAAAAAAAATAGAAAAATAAGAGATAATAAATTCACAAAAATTATAAAAGTCTTTAAAGATTTATTTATTTATTTGAAAGAGACAGAGACAGAGAAAGTGCTTGAGAGGGGGAAGGGGTAGAGGGAGAGAATATCCAAGTAGACTCCCAATGAGTGTGGAGCCCAATGTGGGGCTCAGTCCCATGAGTCATGAGATCAGAACCTGAGCTGTAACCAAGAGTCAGATGCCCAACCAACTTAGCCACCCAAGTGCCCCAAAATTATAAAAGTTTTTAAACACGTGAAAATATGTTCAACCTCACGATTAGAGATATGCAAATTAAAACTATACAGAGATTAAAAAAAAAAAAGAACTATACAGAGATACTATTTCTCAACTAGCAGTATGACACACATGCTGTTTGCCAGGCTGGAAAAAACAGGCCCTCTCCTCAACTGCAGGAGGGAATGCAAACTGGTACAACCTTTCCGGAGAAAACTCTGGCAGCCCCTAACAAAACTACACATGCACTTTTAAACCAGCAACACACATCTAGAAATTTGCCTTGTAGATACACATAAGACAAGGTGAAAACTTTTACATGTATAGAAAGAAGGCTATTCATTGCAACTTTGTAATTGCAAAATATAAGGCGGGGGGGGGATCTAAATGCCCACATATAAGAGAATGGTTGAATTAACTACAGTACATCACACATGTAGTTGTTGGGGGGGAAATAAAGTGACATGGAGTGATTTTTAGTACATACAGCTAGGTGCAAAAAGCAAAGTGGAAAACAGCATTTCTAGAATAAGAAAGAAGAAGAAATAAAATATACATGTATCTGCTCACTTGAGCAAATAGAAATACAAATAATAGTTAAAAACTAGTGAGATTTAGTCTCTACAAAAGGTACAAAGATGCGAGGGAGTGCCACTGCTCTGCATACACTCTTTGTATAGTTCTGACTCTAGCCTGCAACTAGGTCAGAGCTCAAAGACCAAAATCAACAAGGATCTGGGGAGAACCAAAATGGAAGACAAACACACACAGCTACCTGCATTAAAGGTGATTAATATAACCATACTGAATTATGAGTGAGGGAAGAAAACTAACTTAAGTAACTTTGAAAAACAGTATTTTAAAAAAAGATTTATTTATGTAGTTCAGAGAGAGAGCACAAGCAAGAGGGACAGAGGGATGGAGAATCTCAGACTCTGTGCCAAGCATAGAGCCCGACGTAGGGCTCCATCTCCCAACCATGAGACCTGAGCCCAAACTGAGTCAGACGCTTAACCCACAGCAAGACCTAGGTGCCCTGAAAAACAGTGTTTTGAATATATACTTAATAGCTAAAGACAAAATAATATTCACAAATGTTGTACCTCTGTTATCAGATTCATTTTTTCCAGGGGTATGGATTAACAATTCTGAAACTGTGTGTTCCTGGATTGAATAATAAGTAAACATGTTGTGGGGAATAACAGCCCAGTTTCTCACTGTCAGACAAAGAAGTCATAAAGAAACAGGGGAGGGGGGCAGCCTGGGTGGCTCAGCGGTTTGGTGCCACCTTTGGCCCAGGGCCTGATCGTGGAGACCCAGGATCGAGTCCTACGTCAGGCTCCCTGCATGGAGCCTGCTTCTCCCTCTGCCTGTGTCTCTGCCTCTGTGTGTGTGTGTGTGTGTGTGTGTGTCTCTCATGAATGAATGAAGAAAGAAAGGAAGGAAGGAAGGAAGGAAGGAAGGAAGGAAGGAAGGAAGGAAGGAAGGAAGGAAGGAAGTTAGGAAGGAAGAAACAGGGGAGGGGTGCCTGGGTGGCTCTGTTGGTTAAGCATCTGCCTTCAGCTCAGGTCATGATCCCGGGGGTCCTGGGATTGAGCACCATGTCATCATCAGGCTCCCTGCTCAGTGGCAAGCCTGCTTCTCCCTCTCCCTCTGCTCCTCCTGCCTGCTCAGGTTCTCTCTTTCTCTCGCTCAAATAAATAAATAAAATCTTTTTTTAAATAATTTTTTAAAAATAAAGAAATGAGGGAGGCCAGTATGAACCCTATGGTGTTGGACCGGAACTGGAGGTATCAGTATGAATTCATGGGTTTAAATGTACATATGCATGTATGTATGTATACAAATAGATATAAAAATTGATCAATATGTGTGTATGTGTCAATAAATAACATATGTTTCTTAGATTTGTCTGCTAAGAGGGCCTAGAAGCAAGGAAATCCCAGTAGAAAAGAGCACACCTACCACCCAGAAATTGTTTCTGTTTGCCATCACTAATCAAAGGAACCAGGACTCTTGGGAGAATGGCTGATTCTATTTGGGTTAGAGTTGGGAAATACAAGTTAAGCCTAGAACACTTTAAGTTTTCAAAAAGTAAGGAAGTGCTCAAAAAACGCTGAAGACATGTCAGAGAGACAGAGGCTCCCAGCATAAATAATAGTAATAGATTATAACCCCCCCAAATAAAATTAATATCCAAGAGTATTTTGTGACATAACTATCAAATGGGGAGAAGAAAAGTTATTAAAGTGGGGTTTCATCTGATAATAGAAAAATTGCCATTTGCCAAGCATCACTTTAATAACTTTTTTAGACAAAAAAAGCATCAATAGATGCTAAAATTAGTAGGCAAAAAAGTATGATGAGAAACAGGATATTTACATAGTTTCAAAGGGTCTCCTAGGAAGCCACTTTCAATTACTAACAGAAAACAGTAACTTTACTATGGAGAAACCTGGCAGATAACACCTTAACTATATGATAAAAATTAGGATCACCAAGAAGGAGACAAATCTCCATTATGTGCTTCCAGATAAGATGTATGAGAAGAACACAGCATTGTTCTGTTGTATTCTTACTAAAATTGCAGAGCTGAAATTTAATCATGAAGAAAGCAGAAAATGAGTTTAGTTGTAATCCTATGGGACAAGGGGAAGGATCCAAGCATTTCAAAGGCAGGAGAGTGATGCACAACAATAAACTAACATTCAGTGAGCACTAACCATGTGCCAGCTCCATATAGTAGTTCAATTAACTTCCACAGTTCTATTTAATGGGCAGTCCTATTATTATCTCATTTTACTGATAATAAAACCAAGGCAAAGAGGAGTAACTTGTCTAAATCACACAATTAATAAGGGGCAAGCAGGGATGTGAACCTAGGAACTCTAAATCTTGAGCCAGTGTTCTAAACCCCTGTGCTTCATTGTAAATGTAAAGTTTGGACAAAATCTTCTAGTTCACTGGAGGAGAACCAGAGTGGAAGGGAACAGAAGCATGGAGGCCCAATGGGAAGGCTCACAACAGTTTGAGTGGAAGATGACAAGTCTAAATAACTTAACCAGGGACGCCTGGGTGGCTCAGCGGTTGAGCCTTTGGTTCAGGGCGTGATCCTGGGTCTGATTATCGAGTCCCCCATCAGGCTCCATGCGGGAAGCCTGCTTCTCCCTCTGCCTATGTCTCTGCCTCCCTCTGTGTCTCTCACGAATAAATAAATAAAATCTTAAAAAAAAAAAAAACAACCAAGAGATCTTTCAAAATTCAAAATAAAATAAATAAATAACTGAACTATATTGTATTTTCAGTTTTGCAGGAGTTTGCCACATTAAGGCAAATAATACCCTTTTAAAATAGAACTGTCTTTAAAAAAATAGAACTTTCTTTTTAAAATTTAAGTATGTCACTTATGGCTATGGGAAATGTGAAGAAGAGTCCTGTAATGTTGCTTATGGAGTTTACAGTCATCTATAAATGTCACTTTCCCTAGTGAGGAAATGAGCCATTTTAGTGAATTTCAGCAACGTGAAGTGGCCAGAAAATGTTTTTGTGTTGTTACCCGTGAATAAGTAAGCACAATATCTGTGACCAAAAAAAAAAACAGGAGGAGAAAATGCTTCTGTATAATGAAGAGACAAATTTCAGTTTTCACATTATGGCCACACTAGTAATACACAGGAGACCACTGCTATAACTGCTAGGTATATAACAGGTATTCAATAAACACAGCATCAAACTGGATAATGAGTGGAATCTACTACCCAATTTTACTGCCCTAAAAGTCTTTTATACAGCATAAGATAGTGACTTTTAGAAATGCTATTTCTCCCTTCAAATTTCTAAGAAACATCGTATTTCCAAACCAATAATAATAGCAACAGTAAAGCAAACTTAAATAAAAAACATTATTGTAAACATGTTAAACTGGGACTTATTATTCAAGATACTTCAGTTTCTTTTTTTTTAATTTTTTATTTATTTATGATAGGCACACAGTGAGAGAGAGAGGCAGAGACACAGGCAGAGGGAGAAGCAGGCTCCATGCACTGGGAGCCCGACGTGGGATTTGATCCCGGGTCTCTAGGATCGCGCCCTGGGCCAAAGGCAAGCACTAAACCGCTGCGCCACCCAGGGATCCCAAGATACTTCAGTTTCTAATAAATCATATTTATCTTCAGTTCAATAGATAGCATAAGGTTTAATACAATAGTATTCTGTAAAGCTTATCATCCAGTTAGTAAAGTGTTGGTAATACAATAGGTTATTAACTGGGGCTCCACCATGAAATAATGTGTGATGTTTGTTGGGATGAAATTTCTATTTCCCAACGAGTAAAGGATTTCCCAACCCAATTTGAAAAATAAAATGAGAAGGACGCTCATCTTAGAACGTTAATTGTATGATTTTGCATACATACTATTTGTATTCAAAGATAGGTATCCTGGAAGCAATCAATTTATTATTTAATACAAGTGACCCAATCTCTACTTGAATACACTTTGTTACTCAATAAGCAATTTAAACTCTTTTGCACTGACAGTCTATAAACAGTCTTTGTTCCAACTCAGACCAGTTTCACTCCTCCCCTGTCAAAAAGTAAGGAAACTATTTTCAGGACACTGGGGTGGGATTGGGCAGGGAGACTGCAAAGCGACACAGATAATGAGGATTCTTGACAGACATGGTCGCATCTCAACGTTTTCCCTTTACCTTCTGCAGATACGGAGACCCTGGCACCTGTCAGTGTCACTGACACTGCTTTCTGGCACTTCACTAATGTCTCCATTCGCTCTTTTCATCGTAGGGCTGCCACAGTTTTCCAATGCAGAGATGTTTGTGAGAGTCTCACTTGGATAAAGCCTTTTGGGTGCTGCTTTTCTCAAAATACATCCTGGGGCCTTGCTGGTTACATTTTTACCAGCCTTTGAATTGTTGTGTGTTGAGTGCATCAGATCTGACCTGAGGGATTAAGGGATTAAATGAAGGAATTGTTTGTCTGGAAATGTATATTTTTATATAACTAATAAAGAAATAGGAGGCGACAATTATAACACTAACTTAGGGAATATATTGAAACAACATAAAACTGATTGTTGAAGGTTAAATTTTGCCTCAGAAAGTTAAAAATAGAACTACCTTATGATCCAGCAATTGCCCTACTGGGTATTTAGCCAAGGATAAAAAATACAGATTTGAAGGGGTACAATGTTTATAGCAGCATTATCAAAAATAGCCAAACTATGAAAAGAGCCCAGATGTACATCAACGGATGAATGGATAAAGAAGATGTGGTGTACATATATACGATGGAATATTACTCATTCACCAAAAAGAATGGAATCTTGCCATTTGCAACAATGTGGATGGAGCTAGAGTATATTAAATGAAGTCAAAGAAAGACAAATACCATATGATCTCACCCAAATGTGGAATTTAAGAAACAAAACAGATGAACATATGGGGAAGAGAGAAAAAGAGAGAGAAAGAGAGAAGAGAGAGAGAGAGAGAGAGAGAAACCATAAGCGACTTTTAACAATAGAGAACAAACTGGAGGGAAGAGGGTGGGGGATGGGCTAGGTGGGTTATGGGCATTAAGAAGGGCACCTGCTCCTTTCCGATCGGCCATCTGCGGTGGAACCGCCGCCAAGATGCAGATTTTCGTGAAGACCCTTACGGGGAAGACCATCACTCTCGAGGTTGAGCCCTCGGATACGATAGAAAATGTAAAGGCCAAGATTCAGGATAAGGAAGGAATCCCTCCTGATCAGCAGAGACTGATATTTGCTGGCAAGCAACTGGAGGATGGCCGTACTTTGTCTGACTACAACATTCAAAAGGAGTCCACTCTTCATCTTGTGTTGAGACTTCGTGGTGGTGCTAAGAAAAGGAAGAAGAAGTCTTACACCACTCCCAAGAAGAATAAGCATAAGAGAAAGAAGGTTAAGCTGGCCGTCCTGAAATACTACAAGGTGGACGAGAATGGCAAAATCAGTCGCCTTCGTCGAGAGTGCCCTTCAGATGAATGCGGTGCTGGAGTTTTTATGGCTAGCCACTTCGACAGACATTATTGTGGCAAATGTTGTCTGACCTATTGCTTCAACAAACCAGAAGACAAGTAATTGTATATGGATTGATAATAAAAGAAGTGAACTGATAACATTTAATTGTTGAGTTTTGTTCTAGTGACTTAAAAGATTGGTTTTAAGTATCAAATTGATGACCACACTATTTTGATAGACTGTATATACTTTGGCAGAAGAATTAGGATTGTATTTAAAATGAACTATCTAGATACAAACGAGCTTACGTTTCTATCAGTTTTTTATGTCAGCACTATTGAAATTTTGGACTAGATAATTCTGTTGTGAAAGGCTGTCCTGTGCATAATGGCCTGTACTCCTCTGATGCCAGTAACATAGACCTATTCCTACCAGGTATATCCAGACTTGACAAATGATTCCTGGGGTGATGAGAAGGGGAGAGCTGCCGTTCCATCCCCACTTTGAGAAACACTGATTTGTATGAATTGGTGTTACAAGTCTTCCCTAAACAAGGACTATGACCTTTTGTTTCATATATAATAAATGTAAAGGCTAAGCGTTCAGTACTCCATTCAAGAAGTCATCCTGAGTCCCTGGGGTTTGGCTGGGATATATGTTGTCCACAGTACAAGTGAACCTTCAATGTTGAGTGTGAAATCTTGGGAATTTTAAACACTTTGTTCACTAGTACTATTAACATCGAGAAATAGTTTCAGGCAGTATTTGGCACCATATTTTTTTGCCCATCACCTAATTCAGGGAGGTTTGCTTATCTTGGTAACACTCAACTAAAACATGCAGTTGAAGTTTAATATAAAAATTATTACATTCAATGGCATACCAATAAATTCTCTTATAAAATTCTTAAAAAAAAAAAAAAAAAAAAGAAGGGCACCTGCTGTGATGAGCACTGGGTATTGTATTCAAGTGATGAATCACTGAGTTCTACTCCTGAAACCAATATCACATTTGTATGTTAACTAACTAGACTTTAAATAAAAATTTTTTTAAAAAAGCTAACGTTTACATATGTGATTATTTGGAAATTCTCTCTACAGATTCAAATTCTTCAGTAAAGCAACCCAGTGTGCATGAGACAAACTTGTGATATAGTAACAGGGCCCAAGTTAGAAAAAAAAAGTCAAGGGATCCCTGGTGGCGCAGCGGTTTAGCGCCTGCCTTTGGCCCAGGGCGCGATCCTGGAGACCCGGGATCGAATCCCACGTCAGGCTCCCAGTGCATGGAGCCTGCTTCTGTCTCTGCCTCTCTCTCTCACTCTCTCTCTCTCTGTGACTATCATAAATAAACAACAACAAAAAAAAAGAAGAATAATTAAAGATTAAAAAAAAACATTAAAAAAATCATTTTAAAAAAAAGTCAAATTACTATACATCTGTATGATAAAATTCTATACAGTCATTAAAAATCATGTTTTCAAGTCATAATCAGTGATACTGGAACATATTCACAATACATTTTGTGAGGAAAAAGAGGACAGAAAAGTATATATCCTATAAGAGCCTGATCTTATTTTAAAACACCTTATGCAAAAAAAAAAAAAAAGTCTGAAAGAAAAAAACAGCAAGTCAAATGTTAACAGTGGGTATCTCCAGGTGGTGCAATTTGTACTTCTTTGTACTTTTCTGTATTTTCCAAATTTCCCATAGTACCCTTAAAGTCACTTTTATAGTGAAGCACTCTGCACCCCCTCCCCAAAAAACAGTTATTGAGACAAAAGAAAAAAAAGAAAGAAAGAAAAACAAAGGTTGTCCCCATGTCTGAGAAAGAGAGTTCCAGGCAGTAAACAGAAACTTAACCGTGAACCTTAACACTATATCCCTCCTAAAAAACGACTGCCAAAACTGAAATGAGGTTTGGGTAGTAACGAAGATTAACCAGACAGTCCTGTCAAATTCTGAGCAGAAGAGAAAAAGCAAATGGCTAGTGCATGATTGGTGATATTTCCATGCTAAGTTGGTCCCCCTGTAAGCTCTTCCTGATTTAGGCAATATTTCTGATCTTCTAATGTTTTATTCCTCTATCATTTCCTACATGAATGCCAATGAATTATTTCAGAATAAAATTGCAATGGCTTTTTCCTAACCAATACAGACGTTAAAATATTGGCCTTACCTTTTTTGGTTTTGTGAAAGACACAATGATTGCGGAGAAGATGCTCTACTTGGCTCATCAGCTAATGTAGCCAAGATAAAGTTAGCTTCCAATAACATATCCTCAATACTTAAAGACATGGGTCTAAAAAAGGCAAAGTCAGAGCAAGCATCATACATGTTTTTTTGATGGACATTAGGAAAATTAGAAAACAACACTTACTTCAAAAGTAAAAGGAAACAGTAAAAGAACTCCTGTTCATCTTTTCACAAATTAACATAGTCCTAAGAGCTGAAATGGTGCTTAGACATCATCAGATCCCATTTCAAAAAGTCCATCTAACCTAACCCAATCTCTGAAAGCTTAGATCTGGAATACTATATGAAATATCATAGTTTCATAGAAATTAGATTTGCTTAAGCCATGTATAATTTTCTAATTAGGCAATTCAGCACCATGTCAAATTTATAAATGTATTCACTCTGCAAAATATATCTTTCTCAATTATCAACTAAAAAAAGCATCCTCAAACTTTTAGTTTGCTAAGTGTTGCCAGTAAAGTTAAGGAATTCTTGAGGTGTAAATTTCAAAGTGATCCAAAGGATTCTATTATTGATATATAACAAAAGAAAGGAAGGAAGGAAGGCGGGCAGGCAGGCAGAAAGGAAGAAGCTCAGAAAGTTCCCAAGGACTTACTTCCCAGGAAAATCAAAATGAATGGCTATAGGAGCATGTGTAGCTTCTGAAAATATCAGCATTCCCTGGGGGTGGTGGGGGGGGGAAGAAGAAGAAGAAAAATAGTTGAAATCTTTATTTAAAAAACTACGAGTGAAATTTTGACACAAATTTTTGTTTACCTTTAATTCTTTGAAACAAAATGTTATTTCAGTATCAACTCCAATTTGAAAGAAGTCAAATTCATCAGGACCAACAAACATTTCACTGTACACAGAATTGGTCAAATCTGTTCAATATTACAAGAAAATAAAGAATAGAATTAGTCCCAGAGGTACTTATTAAATTTTAGTATGAAAACATAACTAAATGGTAGGTTAAAAATAGCCACAAATCCTTTGACACTCCTTCACTGAGAGATGGGGTCTGTGTCTACGTCCCCTTCCCTTGAATTTGGGTAGTTGGCTCCCTGCTGCTGAGACCAATAGTATATGATGCTATAGATGAACTGCCCTCATGCTGGTTTCTGAGCCCAGGACTTAAGAGACTGGCAACTTCCACTTCCTCTATCTTCCATCCACTTCCTCTATCCTACAACACTCATTCTTGGGAAGTTGGCCACAACAGCCAAGTTGGCCAACTTGGTCAAGTTCATGCTCTATGAAGTCCAAATTAATGGCGAGGCCATATGTGTGCAGTCACTCTGGTTAACAGCCCAGCTGTGCTCCCAGCACTAATTACCAGCCATGTCAGTGTGCCATCTTAGATGGATTCAGATGATTCTAGACTCAGCCACTATCTAACTGCAATTGCATGAGATCCCAAGTACAAACTATCTAGCTGAATCCCATCAACCCGCAGAAATATAAAAGAGAATAATTTTGAGTTTTTCACTACAAAAATCTTTGATATACATGCTCAGAAATACACACACACACAGACACACAAGTACCTTTTCTTCCTTCTCCTTGTTTTCTTTTTTTTTCTAATTGAAGTGTAGTTAACATACAGTGTTATATTAATTTGGATTACAATATAAAAATTCAACAATTCTATACTTTCCTCAGTATTCATCAAGATAAATTACTCTTAATCCCCTTTATCTATTTCACCCATCCCTCCTCTGCAACCACTAGTCTATTCTCTGTATCTTTTTTTAAGGTTTTATTTACTTATTCATGAGAGACACACACAGAGAGAGTGGCAGAGACACAGGCAAAGGGAGAAGCAGGCTCTATGCAGGGAGCCCGACGCAGAACTGGATCTTGGGTCTCCAGGATCACGCCCTGGACTGAAGGCGGCGCTAAACCACTGAGCCCCCCAGGCTGCCCTGTTTTCTGTATTTAAGAGAATGGTTTTTGGTTTGTATCTTATTCTTTGTTCATTTGTTTTGTTTCTTAAATTCCACATATGAGTGAAATCATATGGTATCTGTCTTTCTCTGATGGACTTACTGCATTTAGCATTACATCTGTTTTTTAAAAGATTTTACTTATTTGAGACAGAGCACAAACAGGGGAAGGAGCAGGGGGAGAAGCAGACTCCCCACTGAGCAGGGAACCTGATGTGAGGCTCAATCCCAGGACCCTAGGATCATGACCTGAGCCAAAATCAGACATTTAACAAACAATGGCACCCAGGGGCCTAGCATTATATCTTTTAGGTCCATCTATGTTGTTGCAAATGGCAAGATTTCATTCTTTTTTATGACTAATATTGCATTATGTATACACCACATCTTCTTTATCTATTTGTCTATAATGAATTTGGGTTGCTTCCATATCTGGCTATGGTAAATAATACTACAGTGAATACAGAGGTGCATATATTTTTCAAATCAGTATTTTCATTTTCTCTGTGTAAATACCCAGTAGTAGAATTATTGGATCATCTGATATTTCTTTTTTTTTTCATATGGTATTTCTATTTTGAATTTTTTGAGAAGCCTCTATATTGCTTTATACAGTGGCTGCACCAATTTATATTCCCAAAACCAGTGCACAAGTGTTCCTTTTTCTCCACATCCTCACCAATACTTGAATTTCTTGCATTTTTTATTCTAGCCATTCTGAAAGGTATAAGATGATAGATATCTCATTGTTTTGTTTTTTTTTTTTCTTTAAAAGAAAAGAGGGAGGGGATCCCTGGGTGGCTCAGTGGTTCGCGGCCTGCCTTTGACCCAGAGCGTGATCCTGGAGTCCTGGGATCGAGTCCTGCATCGGGCCTGCTTCTCCCTCTCCCTTTGCCTGTGTCTCTGACTCTCTCTCTCTCTCTCTCTCTCTCTGTCTATCATAAATAAATAAATCTTTTTTAAAAAATAAAGAAAGAAAAGAAAAGAGGGATACCTGGGTGGCTCTGCGGCTGAGCATCTGCCTTTAGCTCAGGGCATGATCCCAGTCCAGGGATTGAGCCCCGTGTCAGGCTCCCTGTGAGGAGCCTGCTTCTCTCTCTGTCTATGTCTCTGCCTCTCTCTTTCTGTGTGTCTCTCATGAATAAATAAATAAAATCTAAAAAAAAAAAATAACAGAAAAGAAAGGCAGATTACCACATGCAGTACCTCATTTGGGTGTGTCTGGAGTCTTGAAAGCTTGACTGCCCTATGTTCTGGAAATGGACTTTGAGAGCTTGTTTGAAGGCTCTAGCAGAGGAGCATAGCTATTTGTATACTCTTGACCAAAGAATGGTCCTCCTTTACCAAGAAGGCCTCTGAGCTTGCAGTTTCAGGACGGACACACATGGAGCCGTGAGGAAGGAAGGGGACATCTGCCTAGCAGCCAGATCAGCTGAATCAATCCTGGCGATCAATGGAGTGACAGATGTCTCAGCCACATCCCCCTTACATCCTCATTGTGGTTTTGATTTGCATTTCCCTGATGATGAGTGCTGTTGAACATCTTTTCATCTGTCTGTGGCCATCTGTATGTACTCTTTGGGGAAAAAAAGTATTCAGGTGCTCTGCCCCTTTAAAAAAAAATTTGAGAGAGAGAAAGAGAGCAGGAGGCAGGAACAGAGGGAGAGAGAATCTCAAGCAGACTCCACACTGGGTACAGGGCCCGATACGGGCTTGAACCCACAACCCTGAGATCACAACCTGAGCTGAAATCAAGAGTCAGATGCTTAAATGACTGAGCCACCCATGTGTCCCAATCTGCCCATTTTTAAATTGGATTACTTTTAGTAACTTCATAGTATTTCATTACCTTTACTCAACCAATCTTCTGATATTAGATCTGAAGTATAGAAGATGTCCAAACTATTAAAAGTGCTTATCTCTGGATAGCGGGATGTCAGATGACTTTTTTTTTTATTAGTGCTTATTTTGTGTTTTTTATTTTCTTCAATGAACACAAATTAATGTAAGTTTAAGAACAAAAAATAATTAGCATACATATTTTAACAGGACCAAATATTATCCTAAAAACATATTCCTATCAAACAAGAAGGCTGTCACTTCCAGTGTACTAGCATAGAGTAAGTTCAAAAATAAACAACTGGGTCCCCAGTCACCCATAACTATAACTACTCATTAGAAAGCTCCTCACAAGGGACAGTGTCTCCTGGTTGCTAAATGGCCATCTTTATTCAGAGATTACATTATGAAATATAAAACAGACCCTTTCACTAGCCAAGCATATATTTTCCGGATCATGAACTTCTAAATTATCAAAAACAATGCTACATAAGACTAGAAAGAAGTAATAATAGCACAGTGCTAATGAGCCTGTGCCTTGGAGCCTATGTTCAGATAATCCATACTTACTGTGTGATACTAGGCAAGTCACTGAGTTTCTCTGTGCTTCATGTAGAAAATGTGCATAATAATAGTACCTACATCACAGAGTTGTTACAAAGATCACATGAATTCATAAATGGAAACCATTTAGAAAAAGAACGTGGAGGGGCACCTGGATGGATGGCTCAATGAGTTGAGCTGCTGACTCTTGATTTCAGCTCAGGTCATGATCTCGGGGTCCAGGCAATGAGCCCTGCACTAGGCTTCTCCCTCACTGGGGAGTCTGTGTGAAATTCTCTCTTTCCCTCTGCCCTTCACTCCTGCCCCATTCACTCTCTCTTTCAAAATAAATAAATCTTTTTTGAAAAAAAAAAAAAGAAAGAAAAAGAACATGGCACAACATGAAAGTCATCTGATTCAATTTCAGCCCTACTTCTGCTGGTTTTTCAATTTAGAATAATATCGTTCCCTACCCTCTTCTTTACTGCTGTCACACACACACACACACACACACACACACACACACACACACACACACTTACCCAAGCAAGATGAAAGAGTCTCAGCTTGTGCCCAAAAGATCCTAGTCAATTTTCTTGATATCAAAACTCCTGATTTAATCATGCTTTAGTCTCTCCATTCATTCTAGATAAGTCTTGGAAGAGCTGACTTAAGAAGTATTTACATTTTCTGTTGTATGTATGTGCCATCTGGAATATCTTAGCTTTAATAGCTAATTCAAATTAGCTATTAAATTAATATAATAGCTTTAATTCAAAGCTACTTTTTCATATGTGATTAAAGATAGTCTCAATTGGATTGCTGACCTCTTTATTTTTCTTTATGCTAAACATAAAAGGTGATAAAAGATGAAAAACAGGGGTGCGTGGCTGGCTCAGTTGGAAGAGCATGGAACTCTTGATCCTGGGGTCATGAGTTCGAGCTCCATGTTGATATAAAGATTACTAAAAATTAAATAAACTTTTTAAAAAGATGAAAACCAGTCCTTAAAAATCTTAACTGAAAATACACTTTTCTCAGTAACCATTCTAATTTTAAAACAACCTGAATTTCAAAGCCAAATATTTTAATTATTGATTGTGTTCAATTTCCTAGATCTCTTAAAAAGTTTTAATGATCTTTCTACAACTTACTGCTTTTTAGACAAGAACAAATGTTATGCCACCAATGTTTACTGTATGGCCAGTAATCAAGAAAGCCAGGAAGTGACATTCCATACAAGCGCCACAACAGATGGAGTCCTTACCCATTGGTTCATCACTGGAACTCTTAAGGCAAACACTGAGTGGAGTAACAGCAAGAGTAACTTCTTCTTGACTTGATGTAAAAAGAACAAGTGCCTCAGCAAGCACTCTACGAAATGTAATGAAAAGCATTACATTATTTGAAAAACAAGAAAAAAGAAAGAATCTTATTAAGTGGGACTCCAATCTTTACTCTGGAAATAAACAGGTTAGTCAGCCTAGATATTTTTGAACTTACCCCCCCCTCCAAAAAAAAAAAAACCAAAAACCCTATCTTCTTTTTTCTACATGAGCTACGATATTTTTAGTATATTTTAAAATTTATCTGAAGGCCAAGAGAATAGTAAAATATATTCTTAGTAAGACATGTGAAACCTGCAGAATAAACCAGACACTGGAAGAAATGTCTTTAATTCTATGGTTTTATACACCCAACATATATTTTTAATGTCCTGCAATCATAATCCTAAGGGAGGTACTAGAAAATACAGCTGTTCAGATAGAACTGGGTAGAACTGTGATGGAGATCCAGGTGAGGGGTAGAAGTTTACAAGCAGCCTGCTGCTTATTATATTCCCTTTCCCTTTGTTACGTGTCCTAGATTATTACCTATTACTTTCAAGGCTGTCTTGACATTCCAAATGCCCTTTATCCTGAGATCCCTTTTTAAAAACAGCTTTTTTGTTACAGGATTCACATACTGTACAATTCACAGATTAAAAGGTTTTCAATTTGTATTTCCCTATTAATGATATTGAGCACCTTCTCATGTGCTTTTCAACCATTTATATATCTTCTTTGGCAAAATATCCATTCAAATCCTTTGTCCATTTTTAATTAGGTTACTTTTTATTATTACACCACAAAATCTGGGCTACTTATGAAATTAAGGTTGTTGTCAGATAAAAATGAGATTCTTAGAATTTATGTAATGTTGATGTTAAACCAATGCTAGACATTAGCTTAGCAGTGTTTCTTGATGCCAAAATATGAGGAACACCTACCAAATTCATCTAGGAACTTTTACGGTGCTATGGGGGAAGTGTTTTACAAGATATCAAATAACCTGACACCCAAAAAAATGATAATATAAATGTGCAATTCAAAAAGAAAGATACAATTGCCAATAAATATAAGAAAAGATGTTCAAACTTCCAAGCAATCAATGCAACAAAAAAGAACATCTAATAATACAATTTTCTACCTATCAGGTTGGCAAAATTTTAAAGATTGATCATATCTGTTACTTGAAAGGATTCCCCTACACTTCTGGTGGGAATGTAAATTGGCATAATGTTTCAGACAGCAATTTGGTAATCAGTACGTTTGCAGATCTAAAACTTGGTAAGCCGGGATCCCTGGGTGGCGCAGTGGTTTGGCGCCTGCCTTTGGCCCAGGGCGCGATCCTGGAGACCCGGGATCGAATCCCACGTCGGGCTCCCGGTGCATGGAGCCTGCTTCTCTCTCTGCCTCTATCTCTCTCTCTCTCTCTCTCTCTCTCTATCATAAATAAAGAAAAAAATTAAAAAAAAAACTTGGTAAGCCTTTGGCCTAGTTTTTTCATTTCTAGGACTCTGTGCTAAGCTGCCTAGATAAGATGGCCCCCAGTGATCCCCACTTCGTGGTATTCATGCCATCATATAATCCCCTGCCCCTGACTATGGGCTTAATTTACAGAATCACTTCTAACAAACAAAATGGCAGAAGTGATGAAATGTCAGTTCTGAGATTAGGTTACAAGAAGACTTTGGCTTCCATTTGTGAATTCTCTCTCTCCATCAGTTACCTCAATCAGTAACCTCAATCAGTAGTAATCTCTCTCTCTGATTACCAGTGGCCATGTTGTGAGGACAATCATATTATCCACAGAGAGGCCTGTGTGGTGAGGAACTGAGGCCTACCAGCAACCAGACAAGTGAGCTTAGAAGCCGTCTTCTGAGGTCACCCCATAGCCATGTCGGTGAGCTTGGGAATGAATCCCCCCAGGCCCAGCCTTCAGATGAGACTGCAGCCCTGGCTGCCAGCTTGACTCTAACTCCATGAGACACCTTGAGCCAGATGCACCCAACTAAGCCACACTTAAAACTATGAAGTAATAAATGTCTGGTTTCTGAAAGCTCTGAGTTTGGGGAAGTTTTGTTCCACAGAAATAGGCAACCAATATACTTTCTCTGGATGGCAAAAAAGCTGGAAACAACCTACTTTTTTCAGTACTAGGATAATGAGTAACTAAATTATGGTTCAGTCATTACAGTGAAAAACTATGCAAATATTAATAACAATAAAATTGATTTAAGTGAACTGACACAGAAACTTAAAAAAGCAAGTTCCCAAACAATAATAGTAGGATATTTTTTTGAAAAAAATTATAAGTATGTGTCTAGTATGTAATATAAATTTGAGAGGGGGAGGAAGGAAGAAAGAAAAAAGAATATCCATAGCTGTAGGGAGAGGGTGAGTTACAAAGATATTATCTATACAGAGAAGGTGATCTACAAGAATATACACCAAACTGTTGATTGATGTCACCTCTGCCAAGTGGGATAAAAGGGACAGGTAGAGGGGAAAGTCCTTTCATTTTTTATGCTTGTACTCCTCTATAAACTCGAGATGTATTATAAGGGGCATGTATTGCTTGTGTAATTAAAAAAAAATTGGATAAAATATTTTTTGGTTCGCAAAGTAATTAATGTTTAATGCTACAGCTTAACTAAAAAAATGAGTGCACTTACACTGACTAATGCGCCTAACTCCTCTAAAGAAAAAATGCCAACTTGGGATAAAGTTGGTTTACATAAAAAATGTTAAAGTTTCCTCATGTTGTGTGTTTTATGACTCAGACAGAAGGCAATATATAAATGCAAAGTATCATTAGTTAAAATATTTTTCTCTTGGTACCTCTGGATGTAAAAAGCCACTAATGAGATATTTTTAGAACTTTCTTGCCATTAAATTATTACTGCTACCATTAAGCAATTATATATATATATATATATATATATATATATATATATATATATATATATATATATGATTTTATTTACTTATTCATGAGAGAGGCAGAGAGAGAGGCAGAGACACAAGCAGAGGGAAAAGGAGGAAGCCCGATGTGGGACTCAATCCGGGACTCAATCCCAGGACCCCAGGATCACGCCCTGAGCCAAAGGCAGACGCTCAACCACGGAGCCACCCAGGTGTCCCCATTTAGCAATTATATTATCTACTATTATCTTTCTTACGGTTTCCTCTTGACTTTGTGAGGGGATTTCTCCAAGTCAAATGTTCGCTTTTTAAAAAAATATAACTGATTTCAAAGTTTAATTAAAGGCATTAATTCTTTATTCTGTGCCCATATTATATTCAGAAAAAGAAAAATAAATACCAGAGAACTCATTACCTTGGCTGAATGACTAGTGTATTAGAACACATATTCTTTTCAAAAATAACTTGCAAGGGCTGACTTTCCTGAAAACACACATTGTGAGTTCTTCTAATACCTTAAAAAGAACAAAGCAATCTGTTAATAATTTTAAGTGCAACATAAACTATTTAAAAAGTCTAAGTTTCACAGCCAAGTTAAAATAATAAAATGAAAGGAACATTCACTATCTGGCCAGGTGAATGTAGCTTAAAGCACTACTTCTTTATAGAATGTGTTTATCGCTCTCTAGTGGACAGCACACAACACGCCATATCCTCGGACCACTCAGGCAGTAGAGCTCCCAAGTTCTTTTGAAATACAGGTGACTTCTTAAATTCTGTGTAAAATAGTGATTGCCCACTATAGTTCATACACCTATCATTCTCTTTTAGTACTCCTTATCCAGGTCTCATATTTCTGTATTGCAGAGACTTTTGGAAGTCAGACACGGACATCTGGTCTGTAAATTCTTTTTCTCTGAGAGGAGGAAGAGAGGAAGACTGTGTAGTCATTATGTCTACAGCCCTATGTGCCACGAACTGTAGTATGCATTTTACATACATTACCTATGATCTTCACTATATCCCTATGGGGTAGGCACTTAAGAGAGGAAACTGCAGCTCGGTGAGGCTGACTTTTCAAAGCAATGCTACTTGAACAAGTATAGGTAGAATTTCAATCTAAGTTTGAATACAGAGCCCATATATTAAAATCCAAGTGGGCTGTAGCTTCCTACAGCATAATAATGTTGTATGAATCAAAGGGACCACTAGAAACATTTCTCAACTAACTTGGATTTTTTTTAACTTGATGGGGCAGAGGGAGAGAGAGAGAATCCCAAGCAGGCTTAATGAGCCTGACACAGGACTCAATTCCATGACCCTAAAATCATGACCTAAGCCAAAATCAAGAGTTGGATGCCCAACCAGCTGAGTCACCCAGGTACCCCTGGATATTTTTCTGATACAAAATAACAGCAACATTTATTAATTTCATAAGGATTTACTGATCACCAACTACTCACAAAGCTGCATTAGTTAGCTTTTGCTGGAAAAGAAACCACTCCAAAACTAAGTGGCCCCAAATAACAAACACTCGCTATTGTTCACAATTCAGCTGAGTCGTTCTACTTTAAGCTGGTTTAGCTGTGGCCCGACATCTTGGATGGCCACACTTCCATGTGTAGGGCCTCTGTGGGACAACTGGCATGGCTGACGCTGCTGGGATGGCTGAGGCCACCCGCCACATGGACTTAATCTTGCAGAAGTCGACTGTGCAGCACTTGTTCTCATGATGAAGGAAAGATTCCTGCCTTACCAGGGTTGCCAGGTTTCTTAAGGCCTAGGCTTGGAACTCACACAATATTACTTCTACTTAATTGATAAAGCAAGCCCAAGGCCAGCCAAGATTCCAGTTGGGGAAACAGATTTCAGCTTTTGAAGGGTGGGAAGCAGTAAATAATTTGTGAACACTTTTTTTGGAGTCTACTACACAGGAACCATTTTAGGAGATGGGGATTAGCAAAGCACAAGTTGAACAAAAATTTCTATCCTCACAGAGCTTACCTTCTAGGGAGGGGAGACAGACAATAAGAAAATAAATAAGTAAAATAATTGCTAGGAAACATAGTGATAAGAGCCACAGGAAAAAAGCAAAGCAGAAAGGGCACTAGGGAATGCCAGTCATGGTAGACAGTAGTTTTAAATAGGGAGGTCAAGGAAGATGTCATGGAAACAATGCTATCTGAGTAAAGACTTCAAAGAGGTGAAAGAGCAAGCAACATGCCATCTGGAAAAGAAGCTTGCTAGGCAGAGATCTTCCAACCCATGTAAGACCTTTTTGGCCATTATAAGATCTCTGGCTTTAAGCCTAGGTAAATTGAGAGGGTTTAGGGCAGGGAGTGGAGTTGAGAGAATTTGAGCACTAGAGTGACATATCCAACCTATTTCATCTTTGCATTCATCCATAAATTTTAGATGTACTACAAAGAGCATGGCATTGCAAGGGATTACTGTAATTTCTATTTTGTCAAGACACAAAGTTCAATAGTTGGCATAAGTTACCTATTCTAAAAACAATTTTCAAGTTACTTTGGGGGCAACAGGTATTAGATGCTTATGATCTACCAAAGGATAGACAGTGAAAAAGTAAGTCACCCCACACCCTCATACCCTCCAAAGAGGGCACTACTGTTACCAGAAACAGCCTTAGCAAGGATCATACCTCTAGAACAGACATCTAAATATTTCACTCAAGTGAATGCTGGCATTGCCAAAGATGTCTAAGCAGAGAAATACCTAATTTCTTTTTAATTCCTGAGGCTCCTTTTCTTGCTACTTGCTTCCTTCTCCTTTTCCCTTTACAACTGACAAGTGCTAAACACTTTTAATCCAAACCCTTGATCACAGGGCTTCCTTCCCATAGAATGCCTTCCCATTTCCATCTACTGGAAACTCACCCAGTATGTGGTGCCACTAGCCACAAAACCTTTCCTCTTCACCTTTCTCTCCTTTGAATTTCTGGCCCAAACAACATCCACTGTACGACTTTATTTTTAAGTAGGTTCTATACTGGGCTTGAACTCACGACACTGAGAATAAGATCTGAGCTGAGATCAAGAATCAGACACTAAACCAACTGAGCAACCCAGGTGCCCCACAACTCTACTTTTTTTTTAAAAAGATTTTATTTATTCATGCGAGACAGAGAGAGAGAGAGCGAAAAAGAGAGGCAGAGACACAGGCAGAAGGAGAAGCAGGCTCCATGCAGGGAGCCCGTCGTGGGACTCGATCCCCAGTCTCCAGGACCATGCCCTGGACTGAAGGCAGCACTAAACCGCTGAGCCACCGGGGCTGCCCCAACTCTACCCTTTTTTAAGCAACTTGGCATGATGTACCTCTTCACTGGTTTTTCTAGTCTTCTCATTTAACAACAATTTTCCTTGATAGGCTGCAAATGGGATCAACATTTAGAAGTCCTGTTTTTTCCCTGGGTTCATCTATTAACTTTATTTTGTGTTACACAAAGTACTGGACTCTACTGAGATAAGGGGTTTTGATTTATAACGGACTTCTTTCATTAAGAAAATCTTACTATTAAAAACAACAACAACTGGGGTGCTTGCATGGCTCAGTCTTAAGCATCTGACTTGATCTCAGCTCAGGTCTTAATCTCAGGATTGTGAGTTCAAGCCCCACACTGGGTTCCAGGCTGGGAGTGGAGCCTTCTTTAAAAAAAAAAAAAAGAAAGAAAGAAAGAAAGAAAGAAAGAAAGAAAGAAAAGAAAAAAGAAAAACAACAACAGCTGAACTAAAGCAAATGCTTAGTCACATGTTTGGCTTAAATACTGGCATAAGCTCCTAACTTCTCACAGACCGGTAACAATAGTTTGCGGCCCAGGAGCCAGTCCATGCATCATTCTGAGTAGTAGTGTCTCATACCATCTGCTCCTGGCCATGGGATTCTTGACACTAGGAGAGAATTCTACTTGCCACTTCATAAGCTCAATTTGGAACTTCCTTCAGTGGGTCCAGAGAACTCTTTCAAACCTGAAGGGGTACAGCTAAGGAACAACCATTATTTTGGAGATATTACATTTGCAGAGTTCACAATTTCAGAAACTAGTGATACTTCAAAAGTCTTATAAGTTATTCAAATGTACCCCAATCCCTATAAATTCACTGTCAAGCAAGTTTAAAGTCATTAGCACATCTGTAGAATGCCCTTTGACAAAAAAACATGAAACCCTGAAGTGGAAGCCCAGCCCTCTTAACATCACTTTATTAATACACGCATATGAATCAAAGTTTTATTTTCAGGGCAGCCCAGGTGGCTCAGCAGTTTAGCGCCGCCTTCAGCCCACGGCCTGATCCTGGAGACCCAGGATGGAGTCCCATGTTGGGCTCCCTGCATGGAGCCTGCTTCTCCCTCTGCCTGTCTCTGCCTCTCTCTCTCTCTCTCTTTCTCTCACTCTGTCATGAATAAATAAGTAAAATCTTTTAAAAAATTTAAAAAAAGTTTTATTTTCACTCAGTATCCCAGTGCACTCCTCTTATGGAAGCCCCTCTCTGCTGGAATCTGGTCTGTTTGAGCCAGGACAGAACACAGTAGCATGTGGTGTATATCAGAGAGTGTTCTTCAGGATCTCACAGACTCATTTTTAGCAACTCTAGGGTCAGTGCTAAAAAAGTATGGAGAATTGGTGGGATTATTAATAAGATAAATATTTCAGATAAATCTTGGTTCTCGATGATACAAATCCTTGTTTTCTATTAGCAGATGCTAAGTAATTCAAGACATCACTGTTCTGGAAACTTTTCATGGTTAGATTTAGAGAAATTAGTCTTTTTAGTAGCTCATGTTTTTTCTATTGTTTTCTATCAGTGAAGAGAGCCAAATTTACATTACTGTCCTTAATTTCTTTCCAAACCCCAAACATGTATTTCTTTTTTTTAAAAAAAAGGTTTTGTTTATTTAATCATGAGAGACACAGAAAGAGAGGCAGAGACATATGCAGAGGGAGATGCAGGTTCATGTGAGAGGAGCCCCATGTGGGACTCGATCCCAGGATCCTGGGATCACGCCCTGAGCCAAAGGCAGATGCTCAACTACTGAGCCACCCAGGAATCCCCCAAACATGTATTTCTAACAGCTTATGGGCTATCTCTTGCCCAGGTGATTTTTCTCAACTAAATTTGAACAATGTTTGTTTTTGTTTTTGTTTTTTTATTCATGAGAGACACAGAGACATAGACAGAGGGAGAGGTAGGCTCCTCACAGGGAGCCCGATGTGGGACTCGACCCTGGGACCGGGATCACACCCTGAGCCAAAGGCAGACGCTCAACCGCTGAGCCACCCAGGCATCCCTGAACAATGTTTCTCCACCAGATGATAGATATAAAATCGTAGGCATCATTTGCTGTGTGCATACAGTTTTGGAAACTATACCCCAATTACACAGCAGCATCCATGTCCTACAGTCTCCTTCCTTCCTGAGCTGGCCCTTCCCCATTTCGTTGCAGCCATAAGGTTCACATGGGGACTGACTACTTCCAGTATCACTGATGGGCCCCCGTTGGTGTAAACCAATTGGTGTAATCTTATGCCCCCTGCAATTAAATTTGGATGACATATGGCACTTTGAGACTCGAATGCCCTGGCCACTAAGATTAATTTAGGTTGGTCCAGTTGAAGCAAAGTCGAGCTCTTTTTAAAATGGACATGAAAGAGGAAACATGTAGCCCTTGGCTACTACAAGCCACCTTATCATTGGAAGTTTAAAAGAGAAGCTGGCCTTAGGATAAACCACATGGAGAGAAGTAGAGCTGAATGAATTTGAAGAAGGAAAAGAAGAAGTTGCTGCTGCAGCCTAGACTGAACCACATCTGTGGCCTAATTTTGATCTTTTTGTTTACATGAACCAATATTCCTCCTTATTATTAAAGTCAATTTGAGTTGGGATTTCTATGTGTGTTTTTTTTTTCTGTTACTTGCTACTGAAAGCATCCTCACTCCTACAGCTTTCCTACAAAAGCTATTAAAAATCAATCAATCACAAATATATAATAGACATTACTCTAAATCAAACCATTTGAGAGAGCCTTAAGAAACTGAAAAGTTGGTTGTTCAAAATCTAGCTGGAAATAAGGGATGAGGGAAATTGTAATAACAGCAATCATTGACTATGTAGTACTCCCTCTGTGTCAGATACCACGCTCTATGCTTCACACTTGTGATCTCATTTCACATTCACAAAAAACCGGGAACATGAGGGTAGGTAAAATTATCCCCATTTACAGAAAAAAAAAAAAAGAAAGGAAGTTCAGAGAACTGATGACAGAAAAACTCTGTAAAAGCCTAATATACGGGGGGGGGGGGCACCTTAGATTTCTAAGTTAGCACAACTATAGGTAAACTTTGTTCAAACCAAAAGCCTGATTTATGGCCTGCCACGCATGCATTGTACATCTGCTTTGTGAATGAGCAGCCTGAAGGAAAACCATTTTGTCCTTGAGGCATCAATCAAAGCTCCTGCTCCCTGAATTCCTTTACGATGAAACTCATGCTTCCCGCCTACATGCTAATCTATAATCTTTTAGCTTTTACAAGATGTAAAAAATGTATATAACCCTATAAAAACTGTCCATTCTCTGGAGCCACTTTCTTCCCTGTGAAAAGTGTGTTTTCCTGGGCAGCTGTCCTAACGTGGGCTGGAATAAAATTCTCTTTCTTACTTTCTGAGATTCTAAAAAGTTTGTTCAATTTGTGTTGACAAAGCTTATGTACTTTCACAAAGCTAATAAGAAGTATAGAAGAATGCACACACAAGTCTGTGATGTCAAAGCAGGCTGTGCTTTTAACGATGCTCTTTAAGTGATTCTGCTATTATGTGAACTAAAATTCAAAGAAGGGGGAAAACCACCTTAAATCACTGATATTTTGCAGGGAAAAAAATTAAAGAATATAATTTGAATATGAACTTAAAATATTAAGATAAATGTCAGGCAAACTAAGAGATATGAGATCATTGTAACACTATGACAACCTTCCAGAAGACCATTCCACTAGAAAGATTTAGACTAATATCACAAGCACGAGCTTTCTGAAAGCATTCAATTCTACGTGCTAACTTCAAATAAAATAGTAGCAATCATAAAAATTATAACTACAGCTAACACTTAGACAATATGCGAGGCATTCTTTTAAGTAATGTAGAACTGTAACTTCCTATAACTCACTGGATCTTCACAAAAACCCAAGAACACTGGGACTAACATGATCCTCCATGTTATATTTGGGGAAAATGGGGCACACAGATGTAAAATCATTTCCCCAAAGTATCAGCAAGAAAAGGGCAGAGCAGGATTTCACCCCAGACCTTGTGGCCTCCAAAGTCCATGCTCTTAAACAATGTGCTATCCATACTTCAGCATGTAAATGTCCTGTGAATACAACACTCAAATATCTACCATGCAAACTGTCTGTTTTACAGTTTGGTGTGACAGAGAGAATGTATAAAGGTTTTGGCTCCTACTACTATGGGGTTCAACTCAAAGCCAGGCTCTGCAACTTACTAGTTTTGTGACCTTGAGCCAGTGATCATGCTTCTTTCAATCTCAGACACAATACCATCTGCCTCCTAGAGGACTTTCAATACAGGTTGGCATTATTCCTTTCTGTTCTCACCAAAGAACACTGTTACCAAGGCATTCTTACAGAATATCATCAAGCAGCCAGTTAATTTTAGACCACCTATTGTTTGAATTCAACTGGACATTTAAAAAAAAATTGGTTTGTATGTAGGCAAAGCTTTCCCAACTGACAAGTTGGGAAAAAAATGAATACCAATCATTTCATGATACTTATACAGAGATAAGTAAGAGAATACTTTTCAAGTACTTACAACGTCCCTACCACAAAACCACACAAATTCTAAGCAGTAATGCAATGAGAAGTCTTAACATGCAATTTGAATATTCTAAACATAAAAATTATTAATAAAAAACACACAATACATAAAACTAGTTTTAATTACACCTACCATGTCTGCAGAAGAACTGAATGACGACTTTGCACTCATCGGATCTGGTGAATATTTTACACTTCTCTACAGTTCTTTCAAGAGAATTTGGACATCTAAAGATGGGCAGAATTGACTATAACACAAATACATAATAGAACAGCACACATTTAATATGGTTGCTCGATGAGTTTAAATGAACTAACAAGATAATGTATGCTCCTAAGTGAATAGATTTGTCCTGCATACCTTTTTATATATTTTTAAATTTTTATTCCAGTTTTGAACTATGTGACTGTGTAATTCAACCTTAAAAATAAAATAACCAATATTTTTTTCTGGATTAAGAAGGTATTTTCCCCTTCTTTTAACACTTTTTCCCTCTTTTTTCAATTTAAATTCAAGTCAATTCATTTTAAAAATTATAATTTTTTTTTTAATTTACGATAGTCATACAGAGAGAGCGAGAGAGGCAGAGACACAGGCAGAGGGAGAAGCAGGCTCCATACACCTGGAGCCTGACGTGGGATTCGATCCCGGGTCTCCAGGATCGCGCCCTGGGCCAAAGGCAGGCGCCAAACCGCTGCGCCACCCAGGGATCCCCCATTTTAAAAATTAAATTAACATACAGTGTATTATTAGTTACCGAGGCATAGTGATTCATCAGTTGCATATTACACCCAATGCTCATTACATTAAGTGCCCTCCTTAATGCCCATCACCCAGTTACCCCGTCCCTCTGCCCACTTCTCCAGCAACCGTCAGTTTGTTTCCTATAGTTAAGAGTCTCATGGTTTGTCTCCCTCTCTGATTTTGTCTTATTTTATTTTTCCATCCCTTCCTCTGTGATCTTGTGTTTTGTTTCTTAAATCCCACATATGAGGGATCCCTGGGTGGCTCAGTGGTTTGGCGCCTGCCTTCGGCCCAGGGCATGATCCTGGAGTCCCTGGATCGAGTTCCGCACTGGGTTTCCTGCATGGAGCCTGTTTCTCCCTCTGCCTGTGTCTCTGCCTCTCTCTCTCTCTGTGTGTGTGTGTCTCTCGTAAATTTTTTTTTTTTTTAAAAAATTCCACATATGAAACCATATCATTGTCTTTCTCTGACTGGCTTATTTCATTTAGCATATCTTCTAGTTCCAACCTCGTCATTGCAAATGATAAGATTTCATTTTTGATGGCTAAGTAGTATTCCACTACATATAAATATACATATTATACACATACACACACACATACCACATCTTCTTTACCCATTCATATGTCAATGGACATCTGGACTCTTTCCATAGTTTGGCTATTGTGGACATTGCTGCTATAAGCATTTGGATGTCCTGAATGCCTTTTAAACCAGGTATTATTATTATTATTATTATTAAAGATTGTATTTATTTATTCATGAGAGAGAGAGAGAGAGAGAGAGAGAGAGAGAGAGAGGGGCACAGACACAGGCAGAGGGAAAAGCAGGCTCCACGCAGGGAGCTTGATGTGGGACTCAATCCCAGGACTCCAGGATCACACCCTGAGCCAAAGGCAGACATTCAACTGCTGAGCCACCCAGGTAACCCATTAAACCATGTATTAAATGCAGAATAGATATCAGGTCCTTTGTAACAAATATTTCTACAAGAGAAAACCAGGGCCACTTATACTTACCTTCATTCCCAATTTGCAATTTAAATTCAACATTGTAGAATCATTATCATCTACTTTCACTGAGGTTGACCATTGATAATGTTGAAAAAACACAGGAGAGAAGAGGACACATCCATATGCTGACCGACAAGAATTCACAGATCTTAAAGCAAGCTGAAAAATAAAAGTTAAGGAAAAAATCAACTTTCACTAAATGATTAATTCAAAAATTCTATTATGTTTAACACTGTAATTAAATGTGTTTAAATAAGGTTATGAGATGGTAACTGCATTATATGGACTACATTATACATATGATTTATTATAGATATTAAATGGGTTACATTAGACATTGTATATTGAATTTACATGCACATATACAGTATACATATCTATATTGAATACATGTAGATATTAACTCTAAAATCTTGCATGTTGAAATTGTAGAGTTGTAAATGCCTTTAGCTTTAATGTACAAAGTGGTAGATAATGTTAAAAGAGGTAGAAAGATGGCAGCAAAATGGCAATCTCTTGCCTCATCTAAAGGGAGAAACCGTTGGTCAGTGCCAGCCAACTACTTCCAATTAGGAATACTAATGCTGGCCCCAAACTGTCAGATCTTCTAAGTTTTTAAGAGAAGCAGAAAACTCAGATCTTTATGTGGACTCCCCCAATCTTTAAGTTTATAAAATTATTTCATTTAAAAAAATAACAAACAGTATAGTCCCACAAAACACTTCGGCAAGTCATATCTAGCTTCTTGACCATCAGTTTGCCATTTCTGGTTTAAATCTCGTGTTTCTCTGCCTGATTTTTAAGTTTAATATGCTCTCAATGTATTCAGACATGTAATATAAAGATGAGCAGTGAAAGGGATAATTAAAATTTCTGAGTTTCCTAGTTAACATTCAATCTGGATTGGGATCTTTAAATATCCTCTTTTGCCTTAATAGATGGTATACTGGTTAATTTTCTTACTTACACCTTTTTCAGATGGATCTAGCCACAGCTCGTCACTGATTCGTGATAGAGCTTGGATTGCTTTCCCAAATACTACAGAGAAAAAGAAAGGCACTGCTTACATTCTTTCCTCAAACAATAAAAACAAATCATAAGGCTACTTCAGCAGAGGACTCATGTTAAATTTATAAAGAACAGTGTTTCATAGACCAATGCTAAAAATTGCTTTAAATACATAATAAGGGACCCCTGGGTGGCTCAGCGGTTTAGTGCCTGCCTTCGGCCCAGGGCGTGATCCTGGAGTTTTGGGATCTAGACCAGCATTGGGCTCCCTGCATGGAGCCTGCTTCTCCCTCTGCCTGTGTCTCTGCCTCTCTCTCTCTCTGTGTGTGTCTCTCATGAATAAATAAAAATCTTTAAATAAATAAATACATAATAATACTCCTGACAGGGATCCCTGGGTGGCGCAGCAGTTTGGCGCCTGCCTTTGGCCCAGGGCGCGATCCTGGAGACCTGGGATGGAATCCCACATCAGGCTCCCAGGGCATGGAGCCTGCTTCTCCCTCTGCCTGTGTCTCTGCCTCTCTCTCTCTCTCTCTCTCTGTGACTATCATAAATAAATAAAAATTAAAAAAAAAACAACCTTGTGTTAATAATACTCCTGACAAAATGCTAGACACATAGACACATACTAAGAGCTCAATAAATTTACAGACTGCAAAATGATAAGACACACACTATTCCTTTCTGATGGTTTGCATGGAGCTACTGCGGCAAGCCAATTTCCATACCAATTTATTTTCAGACTTGGTTAAAATAAATATATTACCTGACATCCCCCCTCCCCTAGAAGTGTGAAAACAGAGCATGAAGAGGTTCATCTGAAGGGCTTTAATAACCTCATAGGTGGCAAGGTCAAAATAAGTTATGAGAGAGAAGTTAGAGGCATTCGAGATACATCTCTGATATTTGAGGGTAGCATCCAAGACGCTCAATCTGCTCACTAAACACACTCAGATTTCCTATAAGAAAGAGGCTAGGCTGGGTCATGTATTTGTCTAAACTGGTATGACACTGTTAATATTCTCAGGAATTACGAATAACTACAAAATGTGGCAAACAAATATAAGATACTATGCTGCAATAAAAATGGATGGCCACATAGGGTGCCTGGGTGGCTCAGTCAGTTAAACATCTGACTCTTGATTTCCACTCAGGTCATGATCTCAGGGTCATGGGATCAAGCCCTGTGGTCGGGTCCACACTCAGCACTAACTCTGCTTTTTTCTCTCTCCCTCCCCCACTTGTGCTGAGAGAAAAAGGAAAGAGAAAGAAAAGAAAGACCGACTATATCGATCCACAGAACAATAGAAAAAGGAGAAAATATTCCAGACATAAAATCTGATTACAATGCTTAAGGATCAGAGGTGTACGAATTGGGGGTGCCAGCCTGGAACTGAGACGGGATGATCATGGGGAGAAAAAAAAAAAAAAAGAGGCATTTCTCCTCTTTTTTTTTCCACTTCACATTCAACACTTTTTCATTCAGCACTTCTTCCAGGAGCTGCCTCAGGCAGACCTCTCAATCACCCAGCGAATGGTTTTTGAGCACCGCCTATGTTCCGAGTACAACCCAATGCAAGGGGAGTAGAGCAATGAACTGAAGAGCAACAGCTTCTGCCCTCACAGTGCACTACATACAGTCCAGGGGGGCAGGCAAAAACAATCATAAAAATAACTGCTTATTGAGAACTGAACTACACCCTGTGAGAGAACTTCTAGAACTCGGAGAACCTGTAACAGCCGGGAGCCCGTGCTTCCCCTCCCTGTTCCTCACTACCGTTCTGTGGATGGCCCCATCCCGGGGTGGGGGAGGGGGGGCAAGGCAACCACCACACAAGACGCCATTCTAGGATCAGCTTACAATCTGCAGGAAACCAGTTTTCCTAAATAGAGACTTTCTGGAGTAACTTACATAGAGTACCACTTATACATTCCCATCTACTATTGAGCTCTTTCCGCATCTGATTCGTTCCTACAACAAGCCCTGCAACAAAAATGCTGTTACTAATTCTCATTTTTTCAGATGAGGAAACTGAGCCCCCGCAGCGATTCAGTGGCTTGTCCCAAGTCAGACGTGGAAAAATGGAAGAATCTTGAATAAAAATCAGGTTGATTAAATCAACCTGGCCCTAAATACTTCAACTATCTAAGCATCATCCCCTCCCCCCCCCAACTCCTCCTCACGCAGTCCTAAATCGTTCAGAGTTTGAGGCCCGCATTCCCAATCTCCGCTCTGATGGTGCAATTTCACTTCACGGACACTGGAGACAGTAAATACCAAGCACAAATAAAAGCAGACAGGCTCTCTTCCCTCAGAAGCTACTAGGAGCTTGGGTGGGTGTCGCCAGCACTTGCGCATGAAGGGCAAAGGGGAAATGGCCTCCATAAATCTTAGGCTTTCTTTCTTTTCTTTCTTCTTTGCTTCCCTTTTCTACATAGGAAGGCAAGAAAGGTCGCTCCACCTTTCACCTGACTGCCGCTCATCTCGCACTTCAGCATGGCTGCAAGCCCTAACAAGCAGGGCTCCAAGGCGCGCCTCAGCTCGACAGCCCCAGGGGCCCGGATGTCGCCCGCACTTTTCGAACTTTCGAGATCTAACTCCTCCCGCCCTCACTCCACGCTTTCCCAGAGCGGCTATATGTGACGGCGGGGAAGGACCTCTGCGGGCCCCCGTAGGCCGTCTCCTGCCGACGTCGCCTGTCATTGGCTGAGAACGAAGTGGGCGGGTCGCCCAGGAGCCCGAGGAAGAAGGCGGTGGCGGCGGTGGCGGTGACTGAGCGGAGCCCAGTGACAGGATGGTGAGGATGGCAGATGCGGCGACCGAGGCCTAGCTGTCGGCCGCGGGGCTGCGTCGTTGGGAGCAGCTGGGAGTCTCTGGGCGACGGCGGGGGCCATCCCGGGGACCGTGGCGGGGAGAAGGCCCAGGGGGAGGGCAGGGGAGGATACGAGCAGCTACCTCTGGGTGCGGCTGGCTCTGGCCTCGCACCCCCGCCCAGGGTCCAAGGGACGTCCGAGGGGGGAAGGGCCCGCCCCCCTCTGCGGCTCGTCCTGTCACGAGACCCGCACGCCCGAGCCGGGAAGGACCTTGGGGCCTGGGCCTCCGGCGTCTGCGAGAAAGGGGCATGGTCCCCTCGGTTTCCAGACGTTTCCTTACTCCTTTTCCTTAAAAGGCACCTCCCGCTGGTTGGGGTGTACCGATTGCCACCGTCATGTGTTGAAAGCTGGGCTGCTTGGATGCAGAACGGGAAGTAACGAGCAGAATCCCCTATCCTTTTTCGTTTGCATCTGGAGAAAAGGGGTACAAACTGCCCCCCTCGCCCCTGAGATAAAGTGCAGCTGCCATTGAAATGTGGTAGTGAGTCCTCGGGGGACTGGATTTGGCTCTTAGAATGGCTGGAACTGTTGTTTCCTTAACGGTTTATGAGCTCTTTGAAATTGGAAAATTTTGTGAATATGTACGTTTTTCCAGGTAAGGAGCCAGTTTTGGCGCCAAGGAGTACTTTAGGGAGTTTTACCTCAGTCGTTCATCAGATTGTCCAGCCAGCTTCAAGGCTAGCCCCCCACCCACTTGACCTACTGTAGGTTTTCCTGCCCCTAAGACCGTTCTGTGTAAAAACTCAGGAGCTGCTACTGGAGGTGGCTTGTAGCTGTAATCAGATTTTCAAAGGTGCCCTTCTCCTCCTAAAAAGTTAAGAGCGTGTCCGAAAGGAGCTCTGATTGTCTTGCTATTTATGTTGATGAGGGACTTCTATAATGGGCATCCGTTACATTTTTGAGATTATCAGGATTCTGTGGCAAGTGTAGCCTTTGAAGTGGCTTATAGATGTGACAGCCAAAGATTTATGGTATATGCTTCTTTAGTGTCTTTGTATATGGGAAAGACTTTAATCTCGTTTTTTTATTTTTGCTTCTCAACGGACTCCAGTTGAATGTGATCCGGTTTACAATAATTTTGAGACAGTTATTCCTGAGAGAAGATGACATATGATTCCATACTCATGTTTCTAAAGTTTGTAAGAGATGAACACTTTTTTAGGGTAGTTACACTGGAACATAATTGCCACCTGAGATAGAACTGGGTAAAATTTAGCATTAGCTGAGTCTTTTATGATTAAAAACCTCTCATTTGGCAAACTAGACTGGTAATGTTCAACACTCAGTAGTATCCGGAGTCTACGGGTAGCAAATTCAGGTGTGGAGAAGGTCCAGTTGCAGCTGGAGGAATGTGTTTGTTTTTTTTTTTTATCATCTTTAGTTGGTGACTTCATCAATTGATAATGTATTCAGAGTGCTGTATTAGACCTTCCATACAAAATAATGGTCTAGCTGCGGCATAAATTTTCCAGCTCGTAGAATTTTGAGCATAAGAGAATTAAAATCAGTGTACTTGAGGAATAATTAGTCCTTAAGAATCCACAAAATGTTAGCTTTCGTTTACATTGTTACTGATGAATTTTCCAAATTGTCTTATAAAATTCTTAACAGAACAGGAAACTAAAAGAGATGGGAGTTAATATAGAGAATAAGATTAGAAGAAAAACTGACAGGGCAAATTTTTTATTACTGGGTGTGTGTGTGAGAGAGAGAGAGAGAGAGATGTTCAAAAACACAGCAAATGGTTCTTTTGGTATTGCTTTGAGCAAAGCCAGTTTTTAACATTTTCTTTCATAACACTCAGAAATCATTAACAATTGTTTGCATATTCATTTGGTATGAGTTTTTTTGTTGCTCTGTTTTTGGTTTGTTTCTTTTCATTGCTTTCTTGTAACATTGGTCATGTTTCACCCTTTTTTTTCATTCACCTGTCTGCAATCAACTTCTTCATTCCACTAAGGCTGGGCACAGAGTAAGTTTCTTCTCTTAGCTCCTACTAACAACGGTGGTTGGGTGGCTGGCTGATTACTGGGATTTTCACCCTTTTACAGTCAATCAAATAGGAAGTAGCCAGATTCCTATGCTTTGATTGGGTTGGTTCTTTATTTGAATTTAACAAGATTGCCATTTCCAGGATCTTTTGCTGTCTCAAAAGACTATAAACTTTATCTAATCTGAATTGTCAAAAGTGTGGAATTTGGGCAAGGACATTCCTCAAAATATGACATATGTTATGTGACACTATTTCCCCAAACTTAGTCACCTACATGAAACAAGAGTCTTAGAATCTTTAGTAGTTTGAAATAATTTTTGTTTGGTCATTCATATAGTTATATTTTTAAACTACTAATACTCTGGGTATACTTGGGTATAATCCATAATACATGATAGAATTTAGGTCATCAATCATTATAAAGTATCATTGTTGTACTAATATTCTTTTTAGCACATTGAGATCAAACAGCTCATTCATTATCAGTCCCAAAGATTTTTATCCTGCAATAGACATATACCCTCTATGAGCCTGAGGGTTTTGGTTTTTTTTTTAGTATAGCAATTTATTTTTTACCTTTTTTCTCAAATGCCAGCTTCCCACATTAACTCTGTGCTTCAATCCATATCTGAAGGGATCCCCCTCTAAAGATGAAGATTGTTCTCTCTCCAGGTACTTTTGCATTGATTACCAATGAGGGTGGAAACTTCATAGTGGCTTTTAGTTTTACAGTAAGATGTTTTATCCACTAAGATCTGGATTGAAACAGTTCATTGAACAAATACCAGCTGAAACTACTCTTTAAAAAGAAGAAACTTATTTAACAATTTCCTTTAAAGTGTGCTAATTTTGTAATCTTGTGTTACTTCAGTTACTCTGTGTCCTGATAACAGTTCCTTTCCTTTGTAATCATGTTGATATTTGTTGCAAGATGAATCAAGTTTGTTTTAGCAATAATTTTAGTTTTACATATTTTGGTTTTGGTTAATTTCAGTTTACATGAAGTCTATGGTGGCAAAACTATTTTCTGTTTTTATACTACTTTAGATATTTAATGTTTTCTTGGATAATATTAAGGAACAGTCATGCCTTCTTTGTTTTTTTTAAATAGAAGTTTTGTTTTTTAAAGATTTTATTTATTTATTCATGAGACGCAGAGAGAGAGGCAGAGACATAGGCAGGGGGAGAAGCAGGCTCAACGCAGGGAGCCCCCTGTGGGACTCAACCCAGGACTCCTGGATTACGCCCTGAGCCAAAGGGCAGTCGCTCAACTGCTGAGCCACCCAGACATCCCCATGCCTTCTTTAAAAGCAATTAAAGGGCATGTATGTTTATAAATGGGATGTCTGTGTGGGAAAACATCCTGTTACAGAATGAAGGTGCTTATATGAATCAACATGAAATTAATTATTGTCCTTTGGACGACACATATTTAAAATGACCTTTTGACAATATTCCACAAAAAGATTGAATTGAGTAATGTTTATATGTTCTTGAAATTGCAAAATTAAAAATTTTACAGAATTGAGGTTTTTTATTCTGTTATACTCAAGTGCAAAATTAATTTTTGTCATCTGAGACTATATTGCAACTCTAAACCACCTCCTGCTAAATTCATCACTTATTTAGCTGATGTCTCTCTCTCTCTCTCTTTTTTTTTTAAATTGTGCTAATGCACATGAAAGATTGTAAAAATGTTATCTTATTTGGAAACCAAACTGAGGGTACACAGGCCATTTAATCTACACAATAAAAATACGACAGGATTTATAATAAGGAAGGAGGAGAGAACAGAGATCATAATTCAAAAGCACGTGTTGTCCTATTAAAACACCTTGAGACATAGGCTGTTTTTTATACCTTTATATTATATAGCTAATAGTATTTAGTAACAAATTTTGTAAATTTTGGCTACTTTTCCTTAAAATAGTTGTCAGTCTAGTAAACATAAATTACAGAATTAAGTTTTTTTCTTTATCACTGCATTTTTAACAGTTCTCTTTATTAATGTTCCTTGGAACATTGGAATCAGTGCATTATGTTTTACATTAGGTTGCAGAAAAATGAATTACCATATTACTCAAAAATGCCAAATTCCATAAGACCCAGCACCATATTCTTCATTTTGCAATTTTTTAAATTCAGCATCATTTATAGGTCTCTAAATGAATTGCTTAGAAAGCCCGATTTTTTTCTTGGTAAATAGAATGATGACCTGTATTGTGTATGCACACTGTTTATGACTAAAATAAGGTATTAGAAAAAGAGTATGTTACCATATGTGTCTTTGTTTAAATGGTCATGATAAGAACTGTATGGATAACTTCTGCTCTTTTGGGTTCTGGAATCCTTGCTTAATTTAAAAGAGGATTTAAGAGAGGAAAACATCTTGTTTTGGCATCATGTTTGACATTACACCTTGTCTCACCTTGACACTTTAAAGTTGGTGTTGGTATTAGGAGATCTGCACATCCCACACCGGTGCAACAGTTTGCCGGCTAAATTCAAAAAACTGCTGGTGCCAGGAAAGATTCAGCACATTCTCTGTACCGGAAACCTTTGCACCAAAGAGAGTTATGACTATCTCAAGACTCTGGCCGGTGATGTTCATATTGTGAGAGGAGACTTCGATGAGGTGATGTATTTTTCTTTCCATTGGCAAATATTTTCTTTTCTTGGTTCTTACATATAGAAGC